TTGTAAAATTTTCCCGTAAAATTTTTTCCCGCCAAAAAATTTTTTTTGCGGGAAAAGTGATTCCGCAATTTTTTTGGCGTTAAATTTTTGGCGGGAAAAATTTTCCCGCCAAAAATTTACAAGGTATTTTAAAGGTTTTTTACAAGGTATTTATAAGGTTTTACAATATATTTTAAAAGGTTTTACAACGTATTTACAAGGTATTTATAAGATATTATAAGATTTTACAAGCTATTTTATAAGGTTTTTACAAGTTATAAGGTTTTACAAGTTTTTTATAAGGTTTTACAAGTTATAAATACCTTATAAAACCTTAAAAGTCCCTTGTAAAACCTTTTAAAATACATTGTAAAACCTTACAAAACACTTGTAAATACCTTGTAAAAAACCTTTAAAATACCTTGTAAATTTTTCCCGCCAAAAATTTTCCCGCCAAAAAAATTTCGCAAAAAAAATTGCGGAATCACTTTTCCCGCAAAAAAATTTTTTTGGCGGGAAAATTTTTTGGCGGGAAAAATTTTTACGGGAAAATTTTACAAGGTTTTTTAAAGGTTTTTACAAGTGTTTGGCGAGAAAATTGCGGGATCACTTTTCCCGCCAAAAAATATTTTGTATTTTGTGGACCTAATTTTGTTTCAAATAAGGGTAAAATAGTCATTAAAAATTAAAAGAGGACAAACTTAAAAATGGACTCTCAAAGGGGGCATTTTTGAAAAGGGGTATTGAAAAAGGGGCATTTTTAACAAATTCTCTAGTTTTATATAAGTTTAGTATTTATTTATTAATATAAGAGTTACTTAGACAATTAGATAATTTTATCTATTTTATTTAGATATTTCACAGTTATTCTATTGATTAAGATTCATAATTATTTGACGATATTTTTCAGTTTAAGTCTTAATTATTTTGACAGATTTTACCAAAAATCACAAAAAAATTCAGCTACATTCAGCAGTCACTATTTAGTAATGTAAAAATTCAGCTAGATTCAGCTAAAAATCACTAAAAATTCAGCCAGATTCCACAATTGAGCCGGATTCAGCCAAATTCCTCGGTTACCATTTAGATCCTAGATTGCTATTATATATAAATTCATGCCTTTTCAAAAGCAATCTAATTGTGGTGCGGTGGTGGTACGAATATTTTGATTTCTTACAACAAAATCCACTTTTGTTTCTGGCAAAAGGGTACTTATGTAATTATAACGTTATTGAAACAAAAACTTCTGTTAGATTAGACTGTTTATTAACGCCAACAACTTACTCCGTTAACTACGAGGTGGGCACAAAGCAAGAATGACGTGGATTGAGGTAAAAAACAAAAGCCAACAAAAACGGCCGTTACGTCATTATTATCACTGACGTGTCATCGTCAGCTCTTGGATTCGTTTGTCTCTCTGCTAAAAAGCATTTAATTTTACCAGATCCATCATTTATATCACTGCCATTAAAAGGAGACAAAAACAAAATATGAAAATTGTAACAGAAAGAGTATATTTTATTTATTTCATCAAACCGGATATTAATTTTTTTGAGTATATACCGTTCTAGTCATACCAATTTTTTTTAAGTCATACCAATTTGGTCTATGATATATTTTACCTGCCACTAATTTAATAAAAGATATATTTCTCTTGTGAAGATGCGATATTTAAAGGGAGCATATTTTTTTATTTTGAATATCAAATCTAAGATCTTAAAAACTCTAAATAAGATTCTATAAAATCCCAACAAAAAAATCTTAAATTAGTTGTAGGGAAAAACAAATATCAAAGACTCTTTTTCTAAATGCTGTACTAGCTAGCTAGTCTAGAAATTTAAACATATAAAATGGAATTTAAATTTACCTATCAACTAGAAATTTTGGAGTTTCTTACAATTTTGGTTGATATAACATGGTAGAACAAATAAAAACATGGTGAAGACAGAAATAAATCCCAGTGTCACTATGCTAATGAGCTTCGATTTTAGTAGTATTTACCAAAAAATAATTGATTTTTTTCACGGATGTGTTCAGTTTTGACTATTTTATCAGCTTTAATCACGAATGTGTTTGGTTTTGACTATTTAATCAGCTTTAAATATCATCATTTGACCTTTTCACTGTTTTACTGGTACCAATAAGATTTTAGCAATTTGTACCATATGAGAGAATCATATGAGCACTTACTTTTTTTCTTTTTCTTTTTTTTGGTTTACTTATTAGCACTCACTTTTTTTTTTTTTTTTTTTTTTTTTTAGCACTCACTTACAACAGTTTCTAACTGTTTTGCTATTGATAAATTTCTGTAATTGTAGTGAAAGCTCGATGACTAGCAAATGTAATTCTCTTTATAATTTCATGTGATATAAAGAAAATCAAAAAAGGGAGAGGAAAAGAAAAGAAACTTAAAGATAGATAGTCTTTAATACAAATGAAAGTCGAGAAAAGAGAAGAATCCAAGTCGGCAGTTCCATGTGTAAGCCTCGGGAACACAAATATTTGTCCCACAGTGCGATCCCAAAGTTCATGCCCCACACGTGTGAAGTCTTACTTGGCGCCACGTCAGTATTCAATGCATGGAAAAATTGAGGTGATAACTGATGATACTAATATCCTCTCGATTATTGCTTGGAGAAGTCTCACTCGAGAGTGAAATTTGTTGATGTAATTATCACAGTATTTTTTTCTTACCACTACTAGCTAGTGTCTCACTTATTTTGGAGTATCCAAAATTGAGTTTATGTGAAATTATGAATTGCTGATTAAATCGAAAATACATTTGATTAACTTTGAGCAAGATAACCAATCAACTATCATCGCTTACTTTTTTTGTAACGGGAAGTCATTATTTGATTTCTCATCATTTTCATCCAATAACAACCAGGTCCAGCTACTAAACTTCCATCTTTTTTTTTAGTAACTCATCGATCGATACTCTTTATCTAAGTGGTTTTGTTATTCTAGGTAAGAAATCAATTCTATTGAACAAACATCTTATCACGCACTATCTGGTCGAGGAAATAAATTTCTACTTCTAGTTGAGGTCATAAATCAAATTCAATTCGAGTACGTATTTTAGATTATTTTGGAATGCAGAAAAATCTAATTCATTAAAAATAACTCATGTATATATGATAAACTAGCTGAGTTTATAGAAAACAAAATTGAATGGAAACATATTTTTATGTGAAATTGAGTTTATGTGAAATTATGAATTGCTGATTAAATCGAAAATACATTTGATTAACTTTGAGCAAGATAACCAATCAACTATCATCGCTTACTTTTTTTGTAACGGGAAGTCATTATTTGATTTCTCATCATTTTCATCCAATAACAACCAGGTCCAGCTACTAAACTTCCATCTTTTTTTTTAGTAACTCATCGATCGATACTCTTTATCTAAGTGGTTTTGTTATTCTAGGTAAGAAATCAATTCTATTGAACAAACATCTTATCACGCACTATCTGGTCGAGGAAATAAATTTCTACTTCTAGTTGAGGTCATAAATCAAATTCAATTCGAGTACGTATTTTAGATTATTTTGGAATGCAGAAAAATCTAATTCATTAAAAATAACTCATGTATATATGATAAACTAGCTGAGTTTATAGAAAACAAAATTGAATGGAAACATATTTTTGACTAGTCTAGGTATCTTCCTCACATCTTAGAGATCAGTTTGCTAGCTAGGAATCTTTCAATTGTTTAAGAATTTTTTTTTACCATATGTTTAATGTAGTGTTTAATCAGTATATGTGTATGTATACATTAAAAAGAAATGTACGTACATATATTTATGCATTAAAAGATGTGCTTTATGAATTGAGGGACAATATGTGAAATTATGTCAACATTGTTCTTCCCTTTTTAGGGTGTATTTTAAAACAGAAGCTCATTGGTACTTTAGGTTTAGCCATAGGCTTTAGGTATTAGTTGTTATCGAGAATGCCGTGTTCACTTCATCATGAACATCTTATGTTAACAACATGCATTTTATTCCACTAATGAAATGTATATAAGCTGAACTGTATATAAGATGATTTATTTTAATTTTTCAAAAAAGTAGAAAAGTGTGCTGGAATTTGTATGAGAGTCAATGTTATTTGTCACTTCATTAGATAAATCATAGATGTAACATTAGTTATCTTATCCTTCTAATTTGTTAACTTCCATTGATTATCTTATATTTAATCAATTAATACGAAGTAATAATTACACATATATATATATATATATGAGCGGTAAAAAAAGTAGTAATCATTAAGATGGAGCTATTTTGATCCATTGTTTAATTTCGCTGATTGGAAAATATATTGAAAATTTGCAATGGTAATTTAAACTAATTATTTTACGTAAATCCTGTTCTTTATATTTTAAACTAGTATGTGGCCCGTGCTATGCACGGAAGTAGTAATTGCTATTTTATTTTTTCCCAAAAAATTACAATTATCATTTTTATTTTACAAATTAAAATTATATTTTATATTAATTTTTTTTTTAATATTAGTATTTGGGAGGAGAGAAGTAGAAAAGGTGGAGATCGTGGCAAAAAGAAAGTGGAAAAAAAAAAAAATTGGCAACAGTTTTTGCTTTTGCTTTGGTCTAAATCAAAGCAAAAGAGTAAAAAATGAGACTTATGCCACGTGTCAGAAGAAGAATGGGATAATTTTTGTTAAAGTGACTCTTGATTTAGTAGATATAGATAAGATGATTGTTAAAATAAATTGATTTCGAATTAATTCGGTTTCCACTATGGTAACGTTCGATTTGAATTAATAGATTCTAAAATGTTATACAACCATATTACTATAGACAAATCATCAATAATGGTGAAATCTCAAAGATACGTGAAAATACATAATTGGACAATCCACTAAATGTCAATCTCGAGAATTAGAATTGTGCTTTGACAGTTAAGTTTTAACTATATATAGAGAGCATCACAAATTGCGTGAGTTTTAGGTTTATATTTTGACTGATACATAACTAAACGAAAATATTAAATTAAGTACTAAAATAATAAATCAGTTAAATAATATTAGATTCACGTATAAGTCATGTCTAAAAGGGAATAAAACAAAATAATTTACATTTCTTTTCAGATCTTGAGGTCCACAGTTCCACCTTCGTACTAACACCCAAGTGGTTCTTTAGAGAGAGAGGGCGTGAGAGAGAGATTTATAAGCTCTTTGGGCATTACAATATTTTTTTTGTGAACATAGAAACACTCAAAACTTCAAACCAAAAAAAAAATATGGGAGAGGTTCAAGAAAAACCCAAACTCTTATATCCTCTTTTCAAATCTCCATGAATAATAACAACAATTTTGTTCTAATTAAGACTCTATTTTATTTTATTTTGTTGGGTTTCAGGAAGAGAAGAAACCAGAAGCAGCAGAGGAAAAGAAAATGGAAGAGAAGAAACCAGAAGAAGAGAAAAAAGAAGGAGAAGAAAAGAAAGTGGAGGCTGAGAAAAAAGGAGAAGATTCTGACAAGAAACCTCAAGAATCTAACAAAGATTCCAAAGAAGATTCTGCTCCCGCGCCGCCGGAGGCTCCAGCACCGCCTCCTCCGCCGCAAGAGATTGTTCTTAAGGTTTACATGCACTGTGAAGGATGTGCTAGAAAAGTCCGCCGTTGTCTCAAAGGCTTCGAAGGTACGTATAAAAAACAAATATGTGAGAAAAAAAGAATTATTGATTTATATGGTTTTTGCATTTGCATATACAATCTTTTAGTTTACATTATTTTGAAATATTAAAATTCAGTTTTCCATAATAGTTTCGGAAATTTTGAGTTTAAATTAACAAAAATTTAAAAAGGGTGATTAATATTGTGGGTTTATTTCTAAAATATACAATAAACGCAATTATCTTGTATTTTTTTCTTTTCAGCATCCTATGTCAATTGCTGTAACTGGATATATTGGTTCTGTCAACTATAGTTTTTTTGGTTAATTTCGTATCTAAGTATATAGTTAATATTCGCTATATATTTTATGTGTAGGGCCACATAAAGTTTTGGGTTATGCTTTAGTATTATAGATTTAAAAACAAAAACTCAAACTAGAAATTCTGTTTTTGGGTAAAAATGGTAAGCTAATGGTTTATATAAAAAAAAAAGAATAAAGTATGGACTTTTGGTTGAATTTATCAATTAGGAGTGGAAGATGTGATGACTGATTGTAAAACGGGGAAAGTGGTGGTGAAAGGTGAGAAAGCTGATCCATTGAAAGTATTAGCTAGAGTTCAGAGGAAGACCCACCGTCAAGTTCAGCTTCTGTCTCCGATTCCTCCGCCACCTCCGCCGCCGGAAAAGAAAGCAGAGGAGGAGAAACCCATTGTGGAAGAGAAGAAAGTGAAGGTAACTTTTTTTTTAGTGGTCTCAAAGCTTTCACCCTCTTTATTGTAAAAAAAACATATTTTAAATTTGTTGTGTTTAATGAATTTGACATTACAACCAAAAAAGAAAAGAAAAAGGAGGGGGTTTTTCGTTGCTTTTTAGGATATTGGTATGAAATATTCATTCTTTTTTGGTAAGGGTATGAATATTCATTTTATTCTTTATTATTCTATTTAGGGTACGAGTAACCAATTAAATTATTTATTATTTAATAAAAATGAGAATATTCTCTTTGCAGTGATTTCACATGGGGTGTATTGGTAGGATTTGGTTAAAAATTTTGATGGTTTATGAACGTAGAACTTCTTATATTTTTATGTATGTGGAATTTTGTGTTAAGTTATCATTTTATTAATTTTGCGAACAGCCTCCGGTGGTCGTGACGGTGGTTCTTAAGGTTCACATGCACTGTGAAGCTTGTGCGACAGAGATCAAGAAACGGATCATGAGAATGAAAGGTTAGCATTTTTTTTTTAAACTTCCACTTTAATTAATTATTAATCAATATAAAATTCATATCGCAGAAGTGTAGCTTATATTTGCCATATTATAAGAAATTGTTTTTTTTTCTCATAGAGCATTTCTTACCTTTTTAGGAAATTTACTGATAAAGGTAATCACTAAAACGAAAGAAAATTAAAGTTTTTTGGAATTTTAGTTTTTTTTTTTTTTTTGATAATCATAAATTTTAGTTTTTTTTCTCTGTCCAATTTATTATAGTTAGATAAAACGTTTCAATACCTTGCAAAATCTTTCACTTCTTTACTTATTTTCACCAAACTTTAGATTATCTTTCGTTAGTCGTTGCATCAATTTTGGTCCATACAATTTCAAATCACTGAATCAGGATCATATTGCTTCGACTTTAAAACACACGCACACGTGTTATTTATTTATTTTATTTTTTGTTATTTATTTAATTATACATAACTGTAATTATTTATGACAGCATATGTAATGCCATATGATTTTGTTCCAGTTATATGTAGTGGGGTAATGTATTCGGTCCTTCACTTTTATAGTACAAATTAAAATTTTCTAATTCATTTTTGTCTGAAATAAATAACTTTTAGGAGTGGAATCTGCTGAATCCGACTTAAAGGGTTCTCAAGTAACGGTGAAAGGAGTGTTTGAACCACAAAAGCTTGTAGAGTACGTTTATAAGCGAACCGGAAAACACGCTGCGATCATGAAAATCGACCCACCGCCCCCACCACCACCTGAGGAGTCGGCAGCAGAAGGAGAGAAGAAGGAAGAAGGAAAGGGAGAAAACGGTGGAGGAGAATCCAAAGGCGAAGAAGGGAAGGACGAAAAGGCGAAGACGGACGAAGAAAAGAAAGAAGGGGATGGCGGTAAAGGGGAAGGCGAAGCAGCGGAAAATGGCGGTGGGGAGGAAGAGGGTAAAGTTGTGGAGGTGAGAAAGATAGAGAATCCTTATTACTACTACTATTACCAACCACCGCGTGTGGCAGTTCCGCCTATGGAAATGCCGCCACACGCTTATCCGCCTCAATTATTCAGTGACGAGAATCCAAATGCATGTACCGTAATGTAACAAAGAAAAACGCAAACGCTATAATGGGTATAATGGGAAATATTCTGAACAATTTTGATGAAGTGGGTACATGGCCTTTGCTGTCTCTCTTAGCATGTGGTTTTCTTTCTAATGTGTTTGTGCAGCTCTTTTCTTTTAAGTGTAATTTACATTTAAAAAACTCGAAAATATGAGTTATTTTAATGGCTATAAGCAATAAAATAAATCAAATTTGCTGTAACTTATCTTGTAGTATAGATTATACATAGTAAAAACAATCTTCATGAAAAGCTAGAAATCAAATCTTTTTGAGAGGGAAGAGTGTTTTTATTTGACATGCATTAAGTTTGATGCGATCATCGCATTTGTTTTTATTTTCCTTTACATATAATGGTTAATCTAAACAAATTTAAAAGTCAATTTTGAGTGTTAGTTAACTTACTAAAGAGTTAGTTAAGTACTCGTGTACTTCAGTTCTAAGTCACCATTTACGTGCAGTGTTTGTTTGGCAACGACTACACTAAATGCATTACACTTCTTTACCAAAGTTGTTCAGTATACATGCAGATTTGGTGGTATCAAATCAATAACATTATTACACCCCAGATATTTTAACTCAATATAACTGTACATAGGTTATTGAAAATAAGAATTAGTTGGAAACTTGTGGAGGAACAGTAATGCTTATTTTGATAAATGTTAAAAATAACCTTAATAGTATAACCTTGTATAAACTCTTTTTCACACTTTCCCCTATGAAAACTGGTGAATTATCTATGAATTATTATTATTATTAGTTAGGTGAAACACTATTTTCTTGCCGCTATAAAAAGGCTGGTCCATTTATTGTGGGAATAAAGTTAATGAAAATGCTGCCTATCTTAAAACATGCCATTGGTGTTTGTCAATTGTGTTATGATTAGTACTATTTATTTATTTATTTTTGGCTAAAGTTTATGATTATTCTCTCTGGATTAATTTTATGTCCATCATGTGTTGTTAGAAACTAAATGGTGGCACGTATTATCAATCAAATCATCAAAAACAATATAATTAAGAATCCTATGTTTTTCTTTACATTTTTGATGTTTCAGTAGAATTAAAAAAACAAAATTCACTCCAACATTAACATTACACACTACTAAATTACAAACCTAAGTAAAAAATCACAACTTTATTAGTATAAGTTTTTGAATACAAAACCTAATAAATACTGTTTTGGCATACCACTATCTAGTAGGTCTGATTTATAATTAAAAATAAAGAAGTGAAATTCCTCTGACAATAGTTCTTTAAACAAACACATACAAAAATCTAAAGGTTTTCAATTCGCCGCGCGTCAGTGACACGTGCCAAGAGTTGGTGACGTCTTGGCATCGTAAGCGCGAGAAGAAAAAGAACATTCTATTCCAGCGAACGTAAGTAGACTCCAGAAATCACACGCGCTTAGGGCAGCGCGTGGAGCGTGAAGGAAAGAGAGAGAGAGAGCCGTGATGTGACGGTGTTAATAACACGTGGATCCCACGTGATGGGTCCGTGCCATCTCTGAGGACGTACAGTTTTTTTTTTTTTATATGAATGAATGAGAGAGCCCACGTGACCCGCCACCACTTCCTCTATTCCTGTGCTTTCGTTCTCAACTTTTGTCGCTTTTTTTTTTGGACGCACCGTTTTTTTTTTTTCAATTAACAATTTACTCGATTCCTCTTCGAAACAAACAAAAATTTAAAGAAAATATAGTACGTTACTTTTTTTTTTCATTTTTTATTTTTTGATAAAAGTACGTAACTCTTCACTTTTCTTTACTAGAAAAACGTAAATTACTCACTTTTTTTTTCTTCGTTTCTTTAACTTGGAAAAAGAAAAGAATATCCTTTTTTTTACTCTTTCTCTTGAAACAACAAACTAATATGAAAACAAAAAAATACAGTAGGAAGTTATTATTCAATAAATGGGGGAGGAGTCTCACTGCAGTTATTATTCAATAAATGAAGACAAAAAAAATATAAAGAGAGAAGTTAATATCCAATGTCGGTAGCTCAATTCATTTTCTTGGAGGACGATATACTAGGTGAAGAAATTAAGATCAAACTATTAGCCAGAGTAAATTAGTCATCAATCAAGACATTTGGTTAAAAGAAGTATCCAAAATCAATCACTCGTACGTTATATGATCGCAATGGTAAAAACATGACGGTAGTCGACTAATTTATATTAATGAGATTGTCATATCATCAAATGAGTTTAATCTTGCATAATGCATGTTATTGACGTATAAATGATCGCAATTGTACTTTTTGCGAAGATCTTTAAATAGCTATAGCTAGTATAGTCTCATATTTCTTACAATTCTTCAATTTTTCTGTTTCATATTAACAATCTATTTCCTTTTTGTCTTTCTAGTGAATAGATAATCTTATTATCAGATTTGTTGCTAAAAATTATATACTTTAGTTATCTTGCGAGTATATTAAAATTACACCCTACTAAAATTTTACTTATTAAAGAAATTATTAAGATCATCTCTTTATTTTTTGTTAATTTCAAATTTGAAAGAGAGAGAAAGGGATAAAAGGGTAGATAGGTTATGGCATTTAATCATTTATTAATCTTGTTGGTCATTTTTTCTTCTTTAATTTCTGTTAACCTTTGGGACCATATACCTTCAACAATGTCGAAATCATGTTGACACGTAGAGACACACATACATATACGTTACAAGTAACGTCTTGTTTGCATGTACGTATACGTATAAACGTAGAGATAACTAATAGTTTTATGTATACGTAACCGAAGCAATAGTAGTTGCATATAACAAACAAATGGTCACCAGGCATGTTGCGGTTATTTATTTAACAACACTTGTTCCATCGACGAGATAATTTCTTTAATAAAATTGATATTTTAAAAATCATCAATCGCTATATATTTACAATAGCATTCCTAACAGTGTTTATCATTCAAAATGTGACTCTCTAATTGTTGGTATATATAGTCGATTCGAAAAATATGTGAATCATTGTTATCAAACTATTAGTATGATGACTTTAATTTGGAAAAAAGTAACAAATCCGTTCTGATCTCCGATCGATCCAAATATACAGACAAAAGTTACAATTTTTTTCGGTTGTAGAAAAAGAATGATAATAACAACGTTGTTATCATATTGAGACACTTGACCGGTTTTCATTAAACTAGTTTAAGTTTGATTGCGACCGAACCATATTTGAATCGACCATTTAACCCAATCACTAAAAGTGTTGGGACCATCACTATCTTTTTGATACATTTACCTGAATTTCATAAAACTCTAAAACTAGTTTATACATCCATCCCCATTACCAATAATTTGTTTCAATTATTTTTTCGACTTTTATTTTTTGGCGCCAACTGCCAAGCAAATAATATATTCACCTTTCATTGTCAACTTATACGTATACCAATTCATTATCATCTTTCTTCAAATTTATCATATTCTACTTGGACTACGATTCTGTTATTATTATATTTGTTCGCATTACATTCTCTAGATTGTGTGAATAAAATATTTATAGATAACGATCCATTCAACTCACGCATCATAAGATCTGCACGACTGCACCATATATGAAGATTTTAATCCAAAATCTATAATGTTTTTAGATTACAAGGTTTTAACCTTAGATGATAAACTTGAAATAATACATATTATATTATTTTATCAAAAAAATAAATAAACTATACATAGAGAACAGCTTAGATTAGATAATAAGCCAACCTATAGACCAACTGACATTTACACATCTCACATTTTCGAGATAAGATCATAAAATGAAAAGTATAAAGCTAAAGGAAATATTATTATTATTTTCCTTTGTACAATTATTTGGCTTTTATGTTTGCTAATTACAAATGAATTTTGATTAATACAATAGGTTATAACATGCAAACGTAAACACAAACAAAAAAATAAGTCGAAAGGCTAACACACACAAAAAGTATGTAGGCCCATAATATAGAAAACAATAGAAGATGATGTTACCACAACTTGTTTGTTAAAGTCTACTCAGTTAACGAGTTCTATATGTGAATACTAATAAACGCAGCAGTGCACAATAATGCAGAAATATAGGTCTTGTGACAGAAGAAAACAAATCATATAAATTTACCTGTCGAAAATGATAACATGATTTCGATTTTTATCAAGAATTTTGTTGTGATTTAGACATGAGCCAAAATCTTTAGAACAATCATTAATATAATACTTTTGAAATAAAGAAAGTAAACTTTTTCTAACAAAAGAAATTTTGATAAGAAAGTTCTTTAAATCCAATCACTTAGTGGGTGTAAAGGCAAAGAAGCATATATAGATAGATGGTTGAAGATGACCTATTCGTGTGTGCTACGATGTAGCATTACACATAGAGGGCAAATTTCGTTACTCTTTTATATTCGTTTCAACTTTCAAATTGTTTCTTTTATGTCTAATGGCCCTAATGGTCCATATTTAAATGGCTTCTTTATCTCGATGTAACCTGACTTTGGAAGAAACTAGTGTACAACAATTAGTTAGGCATTATCAAACGTTTGGAGTAGATTAGTTGAAGTGTAACATGATTTTTTTATTGATATTATTTTTAATATTTATTTAATTAAAAATTTATAAATATATTAATATGGCATTTAGGTCAGAAAAAAACTTTTACATATTCATTGACCGATTTTGATTAATCTGGACCCTATATGATTGTGCCTACTATATATAGACCAATATCTAAAATCTGAAACGAAAGTTTTTAGAACAGAAGAAAAACGAATGAAATTAAGACTTTGCTGTATTTTAAAAGGAAACTACCGAAAGAACATTACACTGTATTTTTGCCTAAACAACAAGAGTCGAGTTAAAAATTCGATCTGCCAGAAAAAGAAGAAAAGACTCAAATCAAACAAAACTTATCAATTCCCTATCCTTGTTTTTTCCCCCTAATGGACAATCGTTGAATATGCGTCATCAAATCAAATTGAAAAAGATGTATAAAACCGGAAATCTATTGGCAGCAAATCAAAACCGGAAAACTTTTACAAACTTTAAAGTTGCACAATACAACTTC